AACACGACGTATACCAAATTCGACGTATTCCAAAGTGGTCGTATACCGAGTTATGACTGTATTGGCTTGTATAACATTGCATAATAAAACACTATGCATTCGGGGTGCTGCATGCTGCAGTGCTATCATGCTACGCATTCGCAGAGGGTCCCCAGAAATGGATCTCCCGGTGCGCCAGTTAAAACGATGTTTAAATAAATGGCCGTTTCGTACTCCCCCCTCTTCCCCAGACGCCTGACCAAGTGTGTGGATGAGGTCAAATACCGTCTCTAGGGTGGCTCTCCAGAGCTCGTCCCTGCAGTGATGCGTGCCAGCAATTGCAGGGCTGCGCCCTCACCTTTGACATTAAATTACGAGATACCTGACAACTTGCGCGGTGAATTTCAACCGTGGCGGTTGATACATGCAAAGTCACGTAGGTAGAAATAAAATAATATTAAATATTATTTAAATTAACCGTGGCGGTTGATACCATGCAACTTGTACTCTTTGGTTCTTTCGGTCAAGTCACGTAGGTAGAAATAGAATAATATAAAAATTATTTATATTATTTTATTTCTACCTACGTTACATTTAGGTATATATTTAGGTAGATATAAAATAATATAAAATAACATAAAAATATTATTGATATTATTTAATTTCTACCTAAATAATATTTTATATTATTTTATTTCTACCTAAATAATATTTTATATTATTTTATTTCTACCTACGTGACTTTACCGAAAGAACCAAAGAGTATGGATTATTGCAGTCACGAAAGCTTCAAACCATGCAACTCGTTTGCACAATGGTCGTGCCATCGATTACCAACCAGTACAGAGGCCACAGAGAATGGGCGTCATTCACGAATACATACAATACCGTACATGCTATGCTGTGCAAAGAAACATCACGAAACAAATAAGTACATTTCGATTTAAAGCTTTGGTGACTGCAGGGATTCATCTTCTTGGTTCTTTCGGTAAAGTCACGCAAAAGGGAAATAATAAATAAATAAAAATAAAACATAATAAAATAATTCTCACGACGTTTCGGCCACAACGCAAGCAGCCGTCCTCAGGTGAAGAACAGGTCTGTCGGGAAGACAGCGTCACGCATTTAACTTGCCGTAGCAGCAATTCATATGTATACGATTAACTGTTATGCAACCAGTTTGTGCACATTGTTCGTGCATCTTTTAGCACCCACCTCCATTACAGAGGATCTGCTGATGACAACTAAGAGCACGACAAACCTAGGTATGCTGGCTGCGTGTAATGTAGCCTTCCAGTGGAAAATATTGACCGTGACGGGATAAAGGGGTGATTTTGTTTTGGTACTTTCAGCGAATAATGTTTATTGTTGTTTCCAAAATCACGTGCAGGAAGCTTCCACCAACATCATCTGCAACAGCCTCCCCCCCGCCTCCCCAGTTCTTAGTTCCCATAAGTGACTAAAATGCACGTGTCACAAGAGTCAGCTTTGTCATTCTCAAACTTTTGACCATCCCTAACAGGATGAGCAAATATGTTTTTTGTATTGAAATACACACACACATACTCAACATACGGTGTAGACCCATCATGAAATATGAACGTCTCGACCAATCATGAAATATTTAAGTCATGACATATGTGCAGGTCAATCATGAAATACGTATCGGCCAATCGTGAACTATTTAAATCGTGAAATAAGAACGGCTGCTTTATGAACAAGCGAAATATTTGCCTTATACAGTGTGTTCAACAGACGTCATCAAAAATGTTGCGACGTTAGCCACTGAACAGATTCAAGTGATATCCCATGCAATCGATGTGTCAGAGGTGCTGATACAACTTCAACGCAGTTCCGCCTGAAACTGGCTGGCTGCTGCTGCTGTTGTGGCGACCGACTGCCAAGGCCCTTGTTTCATATTTATTTCGACAATTCGTCCCAAGGTTCAAGTCTCCGTCCCAAGCTTCAAGCCTCGCTCAGATTGTGTGAATCACAGCCGTGGGCAACAACAATCGTGGACCGCCGACTTGTGTAGTTTCCTCCCAACCCAGGGCATACTTTTGTAAATAACTTCCACTGCAAAGAAAATGAAACTGTTGTCCAATGAAGTGTTCTTAACAACGCATTGACACTGTGTAGTTTCCACACAACGCCCACGTTTAATGTGTTTACCGAGCCCGAATGCTGGACTGTAATTTAAATTAGATGTGTGCGTAATGTGATGACTACACCGTTCACTATGTTATTCCACATTGCTGCAGTTGTCATCTGCACTTTGAATGCTCTAAAGGGCGTTGGACGGTACTTCCACCGTGCAGTGGGAATTCCACATTCCTATGGAAAAAGCCAGGGAACTGCCACCGCAGATACATATCAGGTTCTTGGGGGATTGTAAAATGCCAGGACTATCAAATATGTCGAAGGCTTCAGAAGGCCTTCATCCAGTAGTGGATAGATCATGTTTGATGATGGTGATGACTCGTCTCAAACAAATACTGAACTCTAGTACCAAATGAATTAACAATAGTGCTGTAATTTACTTCGCTTTTTATGCACATTAACATTTTTTTACAGTGTCTATTAATATGTAATTTATAAAACGTTAAATATTAGTCACAATTACGTACCACGTTGCAAGTCTCAAAAGTACGTGTTATTTCACATCCGCTATCAATTTGCATGAACAGGAATCCATAATACATGCCTTGGCATGTTTCAGTACTTAAATGCTGTACTGTAAGTCCATTATTGCAGTAATGAAATTCAATGAGCAACAGCTAGGGAATGCAACCATCTTTTATAGTCAGTTTTAGAAATCTGGATCTGAAAAAATGCACCTCAATAAATTAACAATCATCCAAAGTGTTTTTAGGGGTAGATTTATCTAATTATTTGAATCCACAGGAAGAAAAAACGTTCCAGTTTACACACACACACGTATTGTATCTAAACTGCTATACAGCATTATAGAATGGCAGCCACGATAACGTGGAATTTGCACCACTCAAACCTTTTAGTCTATACTAAAATGAGCGGACAGCACTGATAGCATCAATAAAAGTACTATACTGTAACGCAAGCTAGTATATAAAATTATTTGGTAATGCTGCGTTGGGAATGGTGCTCAAGCACAATTTTACCAGAAAAAAAAATCTAGATTTTTGTCAATAACACTGCCTTAAAAGGAAATTATATAAAAGGCTATTGGCATTTCTTCAAAGCACATATAGAGGCTAGAGAGATAAGAGTGGATATATTTTCTGATTATCAGCTTTAAACTACAGTACAGACAGCGGATATGGACAACCTTGTTGATTTAATATCCAGGGTAATAATGATTAAACATCATAAATCAACTTCTGGATGAAGGTTTCACCACTTCTTCACCATCCCTCACAGTTCCACAATGCCACAATCCATCTCGTTACAAGAGAGCCGATTTCTATTAACATGTCTTCCTCCTTCAACGTAGGTGCCTCACGGTGGCGAGATGTTAACTACCTTGCCTGGTATGCAGGTAGTCGTGAGTTCGATCCCGACCTGATGCCTGTATATTTTGAGTGTCTCTCTCCTCGTGGTCGTAGATTTTTCTTCCGGTCAACCGGTTTTTCCCTCCACATCAACATGTGTTTAGAGCATTTGGCTGCTATACATTTCCACATAAGCCACTTCGTTGAGCTATCGTTTGTGGCCAGATTGCTTCTGAAAATGTATAGCTCAGTGACTTTCCCGAAAGAACCAAGAATATAAAAAATAGTTTCATAGTAATTCCATACATGCACATCTCCACGTTCGTTCCTTGAAATACTTTTCAGATTTTCATCCATGTTCTTTGCCGGTGTGCACATTTTCAATCCATGTCATGCCTATAGCGTTGTCCCCCTTTTAGCAAAACCAAAACAGAACATATTTCTCAGTGGGCCTAAGTCTACGAAAACTGAACAGTACGTTGTAATAGAGTTCAATACTGCCAGATCTTGGTAAATAATTTTAATTCCTGCCGCCAAAAACAAAGATGCCGATTCCTGGTCAAAATGCGGACAGGTGGCTCCCAAGTCATGGCAGAAAATATGAACTGGTGCAAAACGTTCTTCTTTAAGGCACATTGATATGTTGCATTTAATACAAATATTTTTTCCAAAAGTACACAAGCCTACTCTCCCCTCTCTATTTAATAATTTTAATCAGTCCACCTTCAAAATTTTATATTGGTAAACGTTTTGTATGTCACTTTTATTTTCCTTATTTATCAAGTCTCGCTGCGCAGATTGCTTTGTTAAAAATTAAATCATTTCTTATCGTTCTTTGACATGTGTTGTTATACGTTTAACGACTATTGCATCACTGAGTTTGAGATGGTTAATGGTTAATACTGCTAAATCATGCAGTATTTGCTCTTGAGAGAGGAACATTGAACCATAATGCGTCATAGAGACAGGAAATATATTTCTCGGATATACAAGTTATAAGGATGATGATGTGGCTATAATGGTAATGATGTTGATAGTGATAAAGATGATGATGATGGTAATTATGCTACAGCATGCTACAATTGAGTGGCAAATTTCTCCAATAATTAATCCGTGGTTATCTGTCGTTAGAAGGCACATGAAAGGGGTCCTCAAAAGTAATCTCAGACTCCTGTTACCTCTGGATGGATAAGAGTTCATTACAAATATCAACAAATCACTGTTATCTGCGTTTATCCATTGATGTTTGTCTTCGTGGCTTAACGCGAACAATGGGATCCGTCAACAGCACCCATTATATCGCTGTGGATAAGTTTCAGAATATTTAATAAATATTTGATACAAAGCATGTGAAAGGTAGCTAATGTTGAAAGATAAATATGGTTGGAATAAAGTGGCAAAAAAAGTTGAATACTGAATATTTCATCAATTGCACACACTTTTTTGGTCAGCCATAACACCATACCTAATGAATACTTGAACAATACAGTAGAATTGTCATGGTGATAATTCTGCCAAAAGGATGTATTTCCTCATACATACTGTACTTCAACATTATAGGTTTAAAGCGCGTAAAAATTGTCCTGCAATGCCCATTGATGCAACACATTTCACCTGTACTGTAATGTGTAGACCAATTCCTCTAGCATTTGGCATAACTAACACTATACATTAATCATAGTCGAGGTTACCATCACAGTTCTATTAAAGTGTATGTGTTTGCCACACCATTAGTGAAAAGTGGAATACTACCTTTGACTTCAGTAATCAACAAAACATCCTTTTATTACACCAATTTTTATCACAGTTTTTATTTTACTTACTAACCTTTACATGAGACTCAATTAGAATGACTATCACTGTACCGGCGTTCATTTGTAACTGTGGCACTTAGGTCAGCCGTATGAGAAAACACATTTCTCAATAGGCCGTAATTTCGTTAAAGGACGTTGCGAAACCATAATTATACTTCTTTATGCATGCACTGTGATTACATTTTAACTTACAGGAGTGTGTTTATGGGATTGAAGTGGGTTATAAAGCAATGTTTTATGGTGACCTAAGAAATTATTTTATGAAAATAGAGTGCAGTTGCTTAAGAATATTTCAAATAAAAACTAAATATAAAACATACACATTTTCTACAGTCAAATAAAACATTCACCAATGTTTAAAATGAAAATGTTTACAATGTTTACGCAACATTTATATTGTCACTGTATATACCATTCTAAAAATAATTTGCATTAAACATTGTGCTCATAATAATTGAATAATGAGGGCCATTATGCCATTTCTACTTGACGCAGTTTGTCCAAACGGGTCTTGTACGTCTCCTCTTGCACTCTCAACTTTTCAGACACCGCCACCTGCAAAGAATTCACAGCAAATAGCTTCACAGACACCCACACTCTTTGTGACATTTCACGCGTTCACATTATTGCAGGTTGTGTTATTGCATCCCAGCGGGGCAGAGCCAGGAATTAAAAAAAATATATACCAAGGTGACAATGACACATGCGTGTATATGAATATAATTTAATTTCACAACAAATGCGTTTAAATAAAAGAGTACTGTATTTTGAGATGCAAGTTTCGAATTGTGGATTTACGTTAATATAAAAGCGAGTACTTTTATTTTAACGTTCCGCAACTTAGTTGACATTTTATTCATGAATCATGGATTTTAGATTTTGACGCTGCTAACACAATGGGCAACTTTGCAGGTCATGTCACTGGGTCACTTTATACCACTATTAAAATAATATATGCCTAGAGATTATTTTGAATATTGTTAGTGGCTGCCTGCCGTTGCTACCGACACGAGCTTAGAAACTGGCTAAACGGGATTTTCTGCATAATAAACATCGATTTGAATATATAATAGATTAGCTTTACAACCCGGCTTCGCCCGGGACTTGGATTCACCACGCCCGGCCGCCTTTGTCCCCCCAGTGGCGATGTTCACACAGCACACCAGTTACTCATTTGAGGCTGAGTCGACCTAGGGGAGGCCCAGGACCGGTTCAAATAATCGTCACCGGTGGTGGCCGTGAGCGGGAAACGAACTCGGAGTCGCCGGATTCGGCGACGACACTACAATGCGTTACGCTTCCACGTGCGCGGGTTACATGACAGATTTGACGTCACAGGTCACTTGCCGTGCAAAAAATCTCTGCATTATTAAGCTCCCCTCCCCCCCCCCAAAATAAAAGTGTATTTTTTTATTTTTTGCATGGTGTACAGTCTGGAAAGTACCCACATGGCAAATTTCCAGTTTGTTGCATGTCGGGAAGTACGCTAAACATTTTGAACAGACAGATATTCACAACTTTGCCTTTTATATATATTGAGAGGAGATGGGTCACACACCAAAGACGGGGGAGTAACACAGACGATTGACACGGTTAATTTAAAACTTGTCTAAATTTTCAATTTGTGCTCCCATCAATGTAATTATTTCGCCATAATATTCTTTAAATCGTATAAAAAATATAAAAAAAATAAACTAAACCCTCACAATACATATCTTGAATTTTTTGACATACAAAAAGCGTGCTCCGAATACAACATTATGAGAAGAGTATGAAAATAACAGCTGTCTCTTATTTTCCATTGCAAAGCATCAGGTTCTCTATTCTCTACAAGTAATGTTTAATAATTGCCAACAGAATGGTCAGGGGGCCTATAACACAAACAAGATAGGAATAACTTGAAACATTCTACGTGACTTTACCGAAAGACCCAAAGAATGTGAATTCCTGCAGTCACGAAAGCTTTAAGTCAAGATTTAGGTATTGATTAGTGGAACAGTTAAGGAATAGATTTAATTAAATAAGGAATAAATTGCATTAAATAAGGATCAAATTAAAATTTAGTTAACCAGATGATAATATACCCGTTGAAATACATGAAACAGTGCCTCTTGTGCAAGTACAAACTGGGTTACATTAAATATATCTTTGAATATTTACACAAAATGTTAAAAAATTCTCAACGAAACCAATAAAAAAAAATCTCAAATCCCTGCCGTTTAAGAGATGCCTTGGGGGCAGTGTACTAACAACAGTGGGAGGTTTGTCAAGGTGTGGTATAATGGGTGTATGTTCTGTGGCAGCCATTTCCTGGCTTCAGAACCACCCTCCCTCCCTTAACCCCTTTATCACCATTGTGGGTCCACGTGTGTGGAGCCGCACTCCATTACAAAAGTGGGCACACAGTATCAACAGAATGTCCCTTCAATGTCATCAAGCCTGCTTTGTTGTAAATCACCTCCTCCCCCCTCCCCCCGCTGAATACACTTGTTCAAGCAATGGACTTTCAAACTTTTTAAGAGGCAATATTGGACATGTGTTTTTGTTGTTCCGACTGCATATGTACACAAACATGAAAACGTTGTTCATATTTGAAAGTTATAAGTTGCTCCCCCAAAAATGCATCTCGAAGTCGAGCTGTTTTTTGCTGGTTTTATGTATATGGGAGTTTGAACATTAACCATATTTAGGAAAAGGCAACACAGTATTTAGATTTACTCCAAACACTACCTTGTTTCAAGGGAACGTGCACATGTGGTCATTTTCTGAACGATGACCGGGGTTGTTGCTTATACTATGCAATATCAATTTGCATTTCCACAAACATCACAGTTGACGCAAGTGGGATGATTTTAACTCATAAATATGACCGGTTTTTGAACGTGTTGAAAAAGAGAAACAATGAATGACGATGAATAGATACGTACTGTGAGATGTAACGTTGACCTACAAAGCAGTTTGTCTTTTCATATCCGCAAAGCTGCGAAACAAAACTTCAAACAGGCGTTGTTACATAGAATTACTCCAGATTCTGGGCTACAGGTGGGGCAATCATCGGGCATATTAGATGTATGTAGAGTACTGTACTTGGCTTTGGCCAGTGTGTGGAGTGGGCATTTGCCTACGAGCTACAAAGCTTTTGGTTTTAGTCTCTTGTGAGAGGTGTCAGGTTACTGCCAAAATATGTACAATTGATACCTTGCCTTCTGAACTTGAAATTAACATTTACGCAGAAAATATAGACACGCCTGCCTGTTGTACAGTGCGGCTTGAGAAACAACTGCAATGCCCAAACATGCAAATAGTTTAAACCTTGTATCTGCAATCGAAAGTTATGAATACACAATTGTACTGTACACGGAACTGCTCTTGTTACTTGCAACTGCAGTTTTCTCTCCCGAAAACGCGAGATCAAAGGACGCTTCGACACATTTTTGCGTACAAGAGATTTAAAACTTAAAGCAAACTAAGCGACCTCCCCCCCCCCCTGATAACTGAATGGGTTGGAATTGATGCGTATTTATGAAAGTGTTTTGTCAAAAATTCAACTTCTTTAAATGTGTGTTGACCACACACATAATTTTGACATGACTAAGGCAATGCCGTACAAGTGCATCCACACTTGAAAACAACTGTGTACACTCCTATATATATACTGTATTGGTTTAAGGACAAGAAGTACGTTGATTCTATTCATATTGGGCTCTTTTTAAAACGTATCTTTAAAAATCACACAAGCAATGTAAACACATGTTTGGTAGGACACGCATTGCACAGCATTTGGAGGAGGAAAAAGAGACATTTCATATGAACTAAACAACCTAATGGCATAATTACTTAACGAATTCATGATGAAGCGGTGGCGCTTTGGTTAAAGTTGTGTCCTGTGACCCAGGTGACCTCAGTTTTATTCCAGCCTGTGGTGACCATTTGCGGTGATTTGTGAAACAGTTCACCCGCCCTCCCTCTTCATCAATCTGCACTGCCCAGGATGGTGAAATATGGTCAAACAACAACGACCCCCCGTGTTGCCTCAATAGACTGTAGGGGCAAGTGCTGTTAGCGAGCACCTATGAAAGCCGGCACGGTACACGAGGGGGTGGGTGGACAACACCACGCCCGACCGCCTTTGTCTCCCCAGTGGCGATGTTTACACACCGCACCAGCTACTCATTTGAGGCTGAGTCGACCTAGGGGAGGCCCAGGACCGGTTCAGATCATCGTGAGCGGGGTTCATAGCGCAGCGTAGCGCTAATCAATCCACAACCGCCCCTCGTGTGTCTCGCAAAGGATGGGGAAGAGGCATTCATCCAGCAGTGGTTCGAAAAAGGCTGTAAGCAGCATTTGATGTGTAAACCGTAATTCAAAATGTAGTACTGTACGGCAATTACCATGAAAGAAAACAGGCCATTGCCATTCAAAACAAACACACGCTTGTGCAGTATAGGAGCCATTAGAATAACTACAACAAAAACATTTTCATATTTAAAATCTTTCAACGGAATCTTTTCATCATATCAATGGTTTCCAAATTACCATGCCCATGTATCCCCATCCGTGCCCGGTCTCTTCTTGTAAATGCTAATATGCTTAATTCTAAATTAAATGCGGTTGACAAAGAATCAAGTAGTAGTTGGATTATATAATAAACGTTGAAATATTTCACCACCTCAAAGTTAATGATATTTAACGGAACTGAACATTCTCTGCATTTGGGGCATGCCAATACATTGCCTGACTTTGATAAGACTTGCCGAGATTGTTTAGGCCCATTAACATTCATGCATTTATGGCAGTACACTGTGGCTGGCTTACTCAAGGTTCAAAAGCCTCACTGTGTCGACCCATTCTTTCAGGAACCACACACATTCCAAACTGTGTGGTAGCTACCAAAAACAGTTAAAATATTAGTGGAGGTTGGTTTGCTTTTTGAAGAAAGGACAGAGCATGAATTAAACGTGTGTTTTAGAAAAAATACTCATTGCTTGAATGTAAGATACAGGATTGTAAAGTTACATTGTAATGTATATGGAAATGTAGAATGTATACGTATAACATCATTCACTACATTAGAAACTGTAGAAGAAATAATCTTTATAAAAATGTTCACGATATTAAATACACATAGTTCTACACATTTGGAATGTTAATGAAGTACTGCAATTGAGCAGTTTCAGAACACACGGTCCCCTATTAATATGCAACAACGAAATGCATGTACAGCACAATTAAATATTCAGCAGAAGACAATTCATTCAATGAAACGTAAATACTGCCCTGTAAATGTTTATATTAGGCATTTTTATATCACATATCTCGTGGCCTAAGTTATTTTAGTCGAGTGGATTTAAACAAACACTTGCAGTATGCTTAGAATCCTTACAATGTCTAATTCTGGTCTAAATTCCATTCCCCTGCCGCCCTCCAAACAGTCATTACACCCCACCACCATCTTACAATCTCAACCTACAAATGTTGTACATTAACATGCTTTGCTTTATTCACAATCTCCCTAAAAAGTACCATGAAAAGAACAACAACAGTTTTAAGTCTGTAAATGGAATAAACTGCATATTTACAGTTTCAAGCTGAGGTCTGAGTTTCAATCCTAAGCTCAAGTACCCTGGCCATGCATGTTGTTGGCAGTAATATGACACCAAACACTTGTGGCTCAGCTGAAATTGTATCACAAATTCTACTGAGCATCTGGATGTATGGAAACAATACAAGTTGTGTGTGGAGCTCCCACAACCCCAAATGTTTACAATTGTCTCTTTGTCCTTTTCCATATCAGACAGCTCCGATGTAGTTCATGAACAAGCAGAAATGTTTCCACGCAATGAGAAATGGCATTCATTTGCCACGCTGATCATCAGGCTACTGGAGATAAATGTGGCCTCACTCAACCGCTCGACATTGTTGAGTGAATCTGGAAACCTTCTCTCTTGAAATGTCACACGCAAAAGGCTTCTGCATTATATCACTCTCGGTAAGAGTTGTAAGGCCAATAATTATTCACTTTGATTAGAGGTAAAACGAATCGCGTGCGTTCAAGTTGATTCAATCTATTGAAATTTCAACTGTGCATAATGTAATTTACTTCTGCAACTTCAGCAGGAGGGAATTAAGCAGGTGAATTGATGACATTATTGTGTGCCAACGAAGTTATTACCAATAAACTATGATTCATTACCTTCTTACTTAGATGGAGTATTTTCAGTTCTTTGCAACTAAGTGCTTCGCATTGATGCCTGCTGCTATCGTATTTCAACGCTGTCATAAATATACACTCCCAACTAATTTCTATATTTTACAAATGTCAATCTACAAATTATTTGTTTACGACGACTACTATTGTTATCCCAGTGTCACGTAGCACCGTGAGCTGCACATGAGATGCATAAAGCCAGCCATATGCCAGTATTTGTGCTAATCTACAATATTCAATTTAGAGTGGATCAAATATCCATAATTACTGTTAAATAATCCACACCACAAGTCTTTATATTACAGGTTAATCAACTTGCAATGTTTAATACACTTGAAGAGGTCAAACAACCCAGGGGTTGTCACTCAGAAATGATTAGCTGCACTGTACACGCCTCAATACTCTGCAGCATAGTCAAATGTTTTACACCGACGAGGTAAAATAATCTTTAAAAAAGTAAAGTTTTTTTCAATACACTGGTCTGCCAACAACTTGAATACAACACCAATAAAGTATTATTATGAAAACTGCATTTCAGTTCATGATTATGCTTGAATGCAATTTTACTGGATACTGGATATAAACATTTAAACATAGTGTATTTTACACTTAATAATGTTATTTAGAAAATACTCTACGGTATGAAAACAGTTGGTACAACAATTTATCATGGTTCCTTATGCCTAGTTTTGATCAAGACAGAAAGGAGTGGAAGAAAATAATCGGTGTTCGTTTTAAAGGTACTGTGAAGGTACAATAGCATGAAGCAAACAATAATGAAGAGAACGGAAGTGAATGTTAGCATGCAAATACTTCCCTTTGCAAAAAAAATATTCTTGCCTTACAGAATATCCATATACGGTACAATACATTACAAAATCTTTGCTGATCATTTGTGTCATTGTTTAGTACAGTACACACATTTATTATTTAAAAATACAGTGCATAACTATGTTTGCTATAATCACATTAACAATGAAGTTGCAACTAAGGGATGGAACGCATATGAAAGGACATCCATGGAGGAAGATGGAGCTATGAAATCAGTACATCTGCCGGTGCAAAGTGGATTATTAGATTGCAGGACTGACAAATAATCATTATTATCAGAAAAAATAATATCGCAGTGGCAGTGAAGGAATAAAACGTGACCAAGAAGACATCAAACAAGGAGACGGAAGAATAAAATCAGTTCATGTGCAGGTGCTAGGTGGCGTGAGATGTGGCAGTGGCTCGGGGAGGCCTTCATCCAACAGTGGATTGACCCTGGCTGATCATGAAAATGATTCAATGATTATAAACATTCTGTGGCTAGAATGTTTCACTGACAATCGTTGAGTTGAGAGTTCAAATCTAAGTGGGGGGGGGGGGCAACTCAACCTATCACCCTTCTGAGTTGAGTAAAAAAAAGTAAAACTTTGTGGGAAGTTACATGGTCACAATTGTATGGATACACTGGGCCCTGTCTCCGCGATGTGGAATTCCCACGAATGTTTAAGGGCTGTGAATGGGATTTAAAGGCTGCTTGATTGCTCACATCAGCAGGGGACAGATTGCTTGGTGAATATTATTAACTCTTTCCCATTCCGATGACGTACGTGTGCATGCACGTCATCAGAAACAATCAAATAAAATAACTTTATCGGTATCGAGGCACCCACACGGCCATGCGGGAGGCCGTGCAGCACAGTTTGGTGCCAGCTATCATAGAGTGCGATCGTGTCACTACGGTTCTCTGTGGTGAGTAAAATTCCTTTAAAAATAACGGCGCTACACCTCTCTAAATAAAATTGACACTGAGCCGATTGCGTGGTGAGCGGGACACCCACCCCGCAACTTGCAGTCGTGTCGGAACGGGAAAGGGTTAAATAGGGCTGAACTCTATACTATAAGTGAATATAAAGAATATATGGGTGTAGTAATATTTTGAATCGTGCGGTTGGAAACCCACCTGAAGTTCACCGATCATCTCGGCGGCCACCTCCTCCAGGGTTGTTCTGACCTCTGCCAATGTGTGACCACGGAGGGGGTCATCGCCGCTTGGGTAATCAGCGGGGGGGTCAGCCATTCTCTCTTCCTCCTCGGCCTCTTCCACGATGGGCTCCTCTGCCACGATGGGCTCCTCTGCATTCTACCAGATATTACAGGTTCGAGCAATATTCATATCAGTCAGCGGAAAGAAACTTCCGAGGCAATGTCAACATCGGGCACAGACGTCACAATGCAGTCAATGTACCATGTCTGGTAAGCTTGGTAAACGATGTTGCCACAGTTCCTCGGAATTTAGGCCAAGCTGTGTACACCATCTTTGTCTAAATTCATCACCGAAATAACATATTGGATGATGTATAAATATCTGACATGCAATTGACACCCCTTAAACATTTGTGGAAATTCCACATCGTAGAGACAGGGCAGTGTATCAAAATATCTACTTTTCCAAAATATGTTTGGCAACATGCTTCACACATATAGTATACCGTATGAAACTTTCATACAAAATGGATATCATGCAATATTGATACTCATCACTTAAATATCATGCTATTGGATGATGTATACATATCTGACATAGCATATACTCTGTGCAGAGTATATAAATAGAGCATGTACATTCTCTTGGCCATTAACATAAGTACTTTATACGTTTTGATCGAGCTTTATTGCTCATTTAATTATATATATAAACATGTTTTAAACAAATAATGGGTTTCAGGAAGAAGAGTGAACAATGATATGCAAATACAGTATCGGTAAGGGCATTCCACGTCAATGGAATACACAGCGAGATGTTACAGTACTCAATAATTTTAGTTGACTAAAATTACATTCCTGTAAGGTTAATGGTATATTTATAATCGTTGCTTAAGCAATAAAAGTAAACATGTACAGTGTTAAGGTATTATCATTCATTTATCTTCTGGAATGTATATACATCGTGGAAATGTTCATTGGCCAACGAGGAGTATTTTTTTTCATTTATTTCTTAGCTAATATCAACTGTATTTGCCAAATCAATGGAGTGCTTTTGGAATTTAGTGTTCAACTTAATATTCACGTAATATTATATTGACTCTTGCAATTACAAACCAATTTTCACGCCAAGAAGTGTGGAAAATCGTTTAAGACACTGACTTTTTAGCATAATTCCCGAGGACATTATTTTCATGAAAATAACTTAAATAGCAATACACAACTTTTGGTATCATTGATGTCATCATCAAATATCTAATCATTGTTGCTGCATGATGCAATCATTCAGACCACGGGCTATGGTATATATGTGTTAGATTCCTATTGAGAGCTGCAATCTACAAGCAAAACCCTCCCATTGTGCTTTGTAGAGCAAACATAAGGGGGTCGTTGGCTGGTGGTATAGTTTGTTTTCTTCCAGGCGTGTAACTCTCAACGCAGCACTGACCTAAAGCTTTATTCTAGACAATCAAATCAGCGTTACAACATTTTATTGTTAAATCCAGTTCAACCAGAAAAAAAGGAACAGCCAAAATTGTCAGTTGCCAAAGTGTTTAACATTTAAAGCAGCTCTGAACATGTTTGTGTCCATAATTCTATTGCGTCTACGTCAGAGCCGCAAACTAAACCTATACAGTATTCCTATATTGAGTTCTTATCTCATAAGCTGTAGAATGGAGCAGATTAAGGAGGCTTGTTATGCTCCGTATTTACTCTGTCCTTTTTGGTAGTGGTTAGGCCACATTCCAATGCCAACTATTATTACACAAGAAAAAACAAATATAAATACAGTCAAGGATAACTAACGAATTGTAGAGTTTGAATGTACAATTTTATGATTATAAAAATGAGGTAATCTATGTATTATAACAGAGACCTTTTATACGTGAATTCTATCATTTGTGTTTCGCTTTAACATTTTAATGAACTTTTTTAGATTTCAAATCACCTATTTAAATAGTCTAAAGATCAGAGTTTAAAGGAATATTTAGTATTATATATAACTACAATAATTTTAAATGTTAAATATACGGATTATACTTTAGCATAAAATATTTCTCAGCAGTGACCTGTGGATAGCAAAATGTCAGTGAAACTCGGTGCAACAAACCAATGAAAGTACATTGGGGGTCACACTTTTAACAGACGTAATACATAATCGTTTTCATTCGAATGTACCTACAGATTTTTGGGAAACTATACACAAATGCAAACTGAACACATTCAGGTTAATAAGTAAAATAATCTTATTTCGTAAAAACCTGTTCAATATCACTGGAAACAGAATAACATAATTTAGAGATGAACAAAACATATGAGCATGCCATACTATTTAGGAAAGGGTCTTCTACTACAGACCACAGACATATCAGATTTGGAAAGAGTACTACTGATGGATATCAAATACCTTGATGCCTAGCCTTTGTAGAATATGAAAAGGCATTTACAATCTGTGGAAATTGATGCAGTGATCCATGGGTCTCAAAATCCACAACCTAAATAAAACAACGTTTTATAATAAAAAAATATGAAAATGGAAGTTACACTGAGATTGCACGACCAAAGTATGAAAATGCATGTTATTAATAGTCAGACGAGCTTTGGGAGAACTTATTTACAGCAACATTACAACATTAATTGTTTCAGGAGACTGGATTGAGAAACAACGGCTTAAAAATAGAGAAAATACTAACAATATCAGATATTCGGATACCATTGTCATCACAACAACCAATGGGAACGTATTACCGTCCAGGAAACGGTATAAGTTTGCAAAATGGAACAAAAGATAAATATGAAACAGACAAAAGTCAAGTATAAATTATTTGCTCCAAAACATGTGAGATATCTGTCGGAGGGACAGATTAAATTATGAGGTTGGAGCGCTGTTGCCAAACTGAACTTAATAATGAAAAGCAACATAACACTGTGCCTAAAAGAGAAATATCCTAATCAGTGCATATTACTCGCTATAATATAAGGATAAAAAAAGACATGGAAACTGATATACAGTATAAAATAGAGAAATATACAGTAAATATTGAGGGGTGCTCACCGAGAGGACAGGATAGATTACAACTTAGAGATATAAAAATGCCTCAGGCGGAAGCGAGTGGGATTGACCAGGCCACGTCGCGAAAAAGGGACAATGGCCAGTGGTCAAGACTAATGACAGAGTGGCCAGCCAACGGAGGGAACACGTCAGAGATGATACCCAACGCGGAGATGGAACAGTGAAATCAGCTCATGTGCAGGTACTAAATGGCTTCTTAAATCACTTGGCCATGAGAGATGGTGACCGATTGGGGAGGCCCTCAACCAGCGGTGGAGAGTTCATGGCCGACGATTGTGTCCATACTCAGAAAAACAAATCGGTTAAAGCATAAACCCCACAATATAACGGTAGAAATATTTTAAAGTTGAAAAAAGTAGATAAAGGCTAAAAATGCATGACCCTACCGAGTGCACTGATTAGATGCACATGTGTAATGCTCGAGCTTTGACTATGAGGTCATCTGCTTCAGCATTACTTTCTAGGAGGCAGTACACTCTCAGGAGGTTTGAGTGTGAGTGGGAGGTTTTCAACCCTTCCGTTTCCCCCTGTAATGTCCTCCCAAGGGTCCTGCCAAATGCAATGTCCTGCTGTGCGTTGTGTCACCGGTTTCACTGGTGCACCAGCAGAGGGCACTATAGACCCAACCAGGACCACTTTGTCAGGCGTTAACATGGTTGTCGTATGGCACCATGGACCCATCCATAGGAATGTGGGTTTTTTTTTATCACTGGCTCAAGGCAACCAACTGAGACGAGTTCTACTCAGTGGACATTTGAGCCTGGAAACAGCAAACGTGTGTATGAGTGGAAGCACAGCCGTTTCAATACGGGCAAAAAAAAGTGTCTATTTGTTTGTGTTTCTCCCTTGTGGTGGGACTTTGTAGGTTGAACGTTGAGATTTATAAGGGCACGGGGTGACCGATAAGGTCTGAATTGGTCTGTAATATGGTAGAGACTGATAATAGGTTGTTGACAGGTATGGTGAAAGGGTGATCATGGGGATCGTAGTGAAAATCTTGTAAAAAGGGATAATTGCAGTTGGGAGATTATAATTACTGTAGTTTATTCAAAACGGTGGAGCAACACGGGAATAACAGGGAATGATTTTAATAATCGGTAACAAAGATAAAAACAAAAACACAAAATGTATGACTCATTTTAAACTTCGAACATCACATGATGCTGCTGAGGAACGCCCACATCTTGCAGCTGAACACGTAGAGAAGAGTTTCATCAGGGGTTAGTTCATAATTGTGCAAACGCCGTCTCTGCTTTTCCCTGCGAAGTAGCTATTTATTTAATTCCTGCAATATTTTTGCCGAATCCAGAAATACATTTGTACTTTGATATTACGTAAAAAAACAATTCGATTGCTGAATTTAAATACGATATCTATTTTCCTTAAATGGCAGCACAGGTGTCCCAATGATAAAACTGGTAATGTGGGTTTCTGGTTCAAAAACAAGTGTTCCTTTTTGAATATGATATCGTTTAACAATCTTTTTCTATCCTTGTTATACATTATATGCTTGCACACACTTGTATAAATACTCTATCTGCTTCCCCCTTGCCTAAGCCTTCATTATTTATTGCCCTTCTTGATTCGTCACAGCATTCAGATATACCTTTGTACTTTGACACTTTGTCAAAGTAAATTGTGTACTGTATATTTGAACTTGTTTGCCTTCTAGGGGTTTGGTTAAGGGGAGGGGAAAATCTCTCAGTTGGTATTGGTTCATTTATCACCTCGGTAGGCATAATGTAAACTCTATGTATAAAACAAATGATCACGGCAGTTTAATGCAGCATCTGCACAATTGCAAACTTGGCCAATGATTAAAGCACACGATAAGCGTTTTACTTTTCGGCAGATTGGCACTTTAATAATTATCACACAGTATTGACAAGTTGTGGTGAAGTGATTCAAGGTGTGGTGGATTCAATCTGCCAAACCCTTTTATGATGCGAAATCAAACTAGAAATTGGGCGATGTCTCTTTACAATGGTGGCCCTAAGTCAGTGATGGAAATTCCACATTCACATGGTGGGAGTCAGTCTATTTACATAACAATCACCGGTGACTTCCTATATTCTGGTACTCAACATGTTTGCGCCCAAAGAGATGATAGGCCAAGTTGACTGCCAAGGAGGATTTGAACTCACAACTTTCCCGAGCACTGTTGGAGCCACTTTGCCAGACTGCAGGGCATTCCTAATTTTAAAATATATATTATTAGTTCCCCCTTGCAAGAATGCAACATATTTTCTTTCAACATAGAAAATGAACAATGACATTGACAAAGAAATAGGAACAAGAGTTTCAAGATGCACAAAAAAGAAGCGTGGAGTGGTGCATGCTTGAAATTATACTGAGAGACGGGAAGATTAACTGAAGTATTAGAGACCATATATAATTAATATACAACATATTGACTGCTAAGAAAAGTAAAGTGGGCTTGGGCAGAACACGTTGCCAGCAGAGATGAGTGTGCTGCAGACTAATAAAAGAGTGGCAGCCAAAAGAGGGAAAATACAGGAGAGTCCATCAAGGAAATTAATCTAGATGGATTGTTGCATTCCAAAACCGTAAGAGATGGTGATCACTAGTGGAGGCCTTCATCCAGCAGAGGATAGACCACGACTGAAGATTACGATAGCAAAGCGTGGGATGGAATTAAAAGTTCGTTTCTGTGTCACTGTTCCCCACACCGTCACTATCCCTCATGGTCATATAGTGGTGCAGTTCATTTCACTTATTTCCATGGTGTTTGTCCCCTCAGGGGTATTATTCCATCATTAGTCTTGTCCATTGATCTAGTCCTGTCCAATTTGGCGTCATCCCTTATAGGGAATGTTTTGCCCAAGTCTACATACCCTTTCTTCATACCGAATATGATGTGTCGGATTTGAGTGCAAATTTGAGCGTGGGATATTTAGCCAAATATGATTGAGTGTGAAGAGAGGACCACATTAAAAGTTCAAGCAAATTCATAGTCTCCTTCCGATTAACACGGTTAGAAGTTCAACATACAGTACACACGTGCCTCCTACAGATCCCTCATCACCCCCTAGGTGGGTGTCTTATACAGTCTCTGTACGATTCAACATTTGATCCCTACAAGTTGCTACATTACAAGCATGTACATCAGCTGGCTATGACTGTCAAGTGTAGAATGATTGGCTGAGATAGATGGGTGAATGACTGCTGGTGTCTGACCTCCGTTAACTCAGCTCGGGGACACATGTAGCGTTCGTATATGTCCGCATCAATGCCCTCTTCCAGTGGGAGTGGGAAGGGTTTCTGGTTGATCTCCAACAACTCCACCTCAATCTGCAAATGTATCAACAGCAGACACGAATAAACGCGGCAAGAACACCGTTAGGAATACAGCATTCCCTCGTTATTCATGAACTTGCTATACGTCATTTTGGCTTTCTGTGAATTGCATCTGGAACGCTACGTGACTGCATCAGGCGAAGGTTATGACAAAGTGATGACAGAGAATGTGATGCGAGAAAGTGATGAGAGAGAATGTGATGAGATAAAGTGATGAGATAAAAGGCTTATTTACGTATCTAAGGAAATTCATAAAATATATATATATCATTATCCGTACCCCTCGCGAATAACAAGGTAATACTGTATACCCCAAAAAATCAAGAGCTGAAAAACGAATACTTAGTTTATTTAAAAATTATAAAGCAAATAGATATATACCATTTATAACTAACAATTCGTGTATACTCCAGTCAGTGAAAAGTACCCGTTAAGGTGTGATAGACTGGATGTGTCAAATGATTGTGATATAATATAACATGGCAAGTCCAATGTTGTTTTGTTGATTTTGAGTGTGACATCTAGTGGAGACCTTGAGGACTTGTGGTGTGACTACTGGAGATATTTATGTATTGGCATGTTAAATGTTCAGTCAAACTCTTTATCCAGGGTGATTGTGGGAAAGGGTACTCCAGTTCCAAATATCTGACGTCCCGATCGGGGATTAACTTGTTTATCTGGGGGGGCGTGACCTCGAATAACTCCGGATATTTGGAAGAATTTTCTGAATAACTTCATTTATCCGTGGTTTCCGGCGCCAGATAATTGGAAGTATTTGCCTGGATAACTTCGTTTAACTGTGGTCTGGACCCAGAATATGTGGATTACCACGCCTTCCGGATATTTGGAAGAGAAGACTACTTTGCCCACACCGGATAAAGGAATTCCCGGATAATTGGGTCACAGATAAAACAGAGTTTGACTGTTTATTGCAATATTTATGATGTTACTCAATCATTTTAATTCGTATGAATTTTAATCAAAAGATATGGATAATAAAGCCTGATGACGATGTGTTTCATGTCAACATGACAGTACTCTACTTGATTACATTTCAAGTTCCAGTTTGTTTCGTTTCACCAGGATAGAACTCAGAGACCAGGATAGTCTCATTTGCAAGAGTGAATGTCCTATGAATTTGAAATATCCTAGCCCAATGTACTACAGTATATGACACCAATGTTCTATGTGGGTATGCATGAGCGATGAATGAATATTTTAATGACTTGTGTTTAATTGCAATATCTCGATGCTTAACTTTCTAACCATTTCCCTTCAACCACACATCCATGCTGTTGAATCGCAAACCCCTGTTCAAGTGCAAGCTCAATATTTTCCTTTTATTATTTTACCTGACTGCCTTTCTAGCGCTATATCATAGACCCACTGTTCTATAGAGTGTGTTGCGATGTGGTTGCATTTAAATGCTATGCAACATCCAAATGGTTATTGTATTGTAGCAGTGTTCAGCATGCCTGCACAGACTTGTACACTTGACACCAACTACGGAATGTGATTTTAGTCGTATGGCAAAGAGTAGATGCACATGTGTCAGATATTTAAAAAAAAAACCTGGAGCATAACAACTTTGTCAATGCACACAGAACGGTTCAAGTCCGCACACTTAACATCGTAATCGCATCATTTTCCATAGAGAACTAAAAATTGTTAATTAAAAATTACAGTACAACCATACATGGTTATTTAGAATTGGCTGTATATATTGCAAAACTGATGTATGGATCGCTTCTACGACCGAATAAACATTTTACCTTTTTAGAACGATAATAAGAATCCAGGTGGTCAAATGTTAATGTTAGCTTTTCAAAATGATGCGTGAGAAACAGGGCAACAAAATGAACTGCAGTACAGTGTAGCACGTTACGGACGTCATGTATTAATAACTGGCCTTATTTATTAACCGAGGGAAACGAAAGCTGGAGTATAAATTACAATTGGGAAAATCTTCAACGCCGTTAGGTGCACCGACTCCACCTGCCGTTGAAGCTACGATCATCACTCGTCAACCATTATAGTGCACGAAAACAACTTTTAAAAAAAATGTTCACCGTGTAATCTTTACAGTTGGCATTTGCACCAGCAGTATTTAAAGTCTGCATCAGAACCAACTGCGTACAAGCACATCTCAAATTCACCACTGAAGCAGCGGTGCACAGCAGAGGCGTTGAATTGTTGAACCTACGTTGTGCAAATCGGCTACGTGGAAAGCACACTTTTAAATTCGACCGTAAGAATTAATTCCTTCACTTAGAAGCGGGTGATATCTCGTTCTGATCAAATACGTCCTCTGTATGGGAGATGTGGGTACCATCTTGAGTATACAGGAGCCAAACACCTAAATTTGTGTTCATTCACCACAATGACAGGAGGCAGATTAGCACGGCTGGATACGTACGGTGCGAAAGAAATCCAACGTACATGCGAGCGACACATTTGAGCTCCACCGACTAATTACAAAATACACCATTCAACACTCTAATATACTCTTACAAATGTTCATGAAGTCACCCTCAAACTTTACGAGTTTTTCAACATGGTCGGTTGGTTTCCTTTCAATCTGAAATGTAAACAGGTCTAATGTGACTTCGACATACAGTACCTGCTTTTCCAGTTTTAGCCAAATATGGATTTGCATAGATTTTGAGCAAACAAATTGTACAAATGGTATTGCAGGATACGTCAATACTTTACAAAGCTTATGCAACATCGAAGTGCCATTGCCAAAGCTATGGAAACTTTGGTGAAATTACATTTATTAAAATACAAAATACGGTTATCATCAACATGGATAAATGTTTTAAATAGGTTTAACTTGTAACCTTCTAACATGCTGTACAATAATTTAATAAGAAACATATCCAAATGGACCATACTATTGAACATGAGAACGCCTGTTTAAAATCAGCTGGCAGTATAAAACAGAACCGAACGTGGTGCCAATTACAACATAACATAAAAAAAACTGTGACCAGCCGCTGCAATGTATACGTGCTAAAGGTCCAAAAAAACATAAGTAAAATATATCATGGAATAAACGAGATCAGTTGGAGGAAGAAAGCTCAGAGTTTATGTTGGACTGTTCGTATTATATAAACAGCCATACGCACATGCTCTGTTTCGTATATTAAATTCAACACAGGCTTATTAGTCTGATGCGTGGTCTTCTTGTGCTGACATCTGGACAATAATTCAACCACTGAAAACCTAGCCGATCTAAAAGAATTTCCATAAACACTACCACCATTCACCATTACTGTAGTTTCTGCTCCCCGGCCCTCTCCCCCTCCGTCCCCCCCCCCCACGTGAATTTTGAGAGCACACATTCATCGCTATACTATGTACTGTAATGTTATCCCCATGCTATGAAATGTACGATGATATTTCCTTAATGTGGCACTTATAGTTTTCAACCACGCACGGCTATACTTACTGCACATTCAACGTTTTTCCCTGGTATACAGGCTACTTTTTTACGATAAGCACAGGGTCATATAAGGCAGTAGTCATCTTACGGCAAATGCTTATTGTCGCATTTGAAAAATGTGTTATCTTTAATATAGTTAGGTGATGGGGGTTGACCGCATGTGGTGAAGCAATGTGTGGGTTTACTCCTGTCTTATCAAAGACGCCTGTGGCAAGCGTGGAATAGCAGCCCAAATACATTACTCTCCAGAGCAGTGGTGCCCAACTTTTGTTCATCACGTTCCCCAAAATGTTCTTCATTGAAAGGCCCGCGGGTCACTGGCACCCCCCCCCCCCCCGGACAACACACAAAAGTGAAAACACCCCCCCTCCACCACCACCCATCATCATCGTGCTGCTGTCAAACCCGAAAAGCGGTTCAAATGTGCTGATGTCTTATCAGCGAGAATGAAGAACACTGCGATAATCACCCCCTTACCAGCACTCTCAACTGTCCGTGTACCTCTCTCTACCAGCATATAGAGTAGACGTAATATTTGAACAAGACAGATTTTTGTTTTCTGTACACGTTATCAACATAATGCATTTAGCCTTTCATTTAACAACGTATCTAAATATTTACAACTTAATGTGTATGCTTATAGAAAATCATTGCCTTACAGTCACGATTACCACAAAGCGTAGGAGCAAGTTCATAGTTGGATGAAGTAAAACAGCGTGTAACAACGATTTCCCCCTCCCCCCCTTAATGTTATTAAATAATGAGGATGAATGCATCTTCGGGAATAATCAACACTTTGTTTAATAATAATAAAAAGCACCTTAGAATTTGGAAAAAAATAAAATGCAAAGCCCTAAATGACCTGAAAAACGAAAAAAATGACGAATGTTTTTGTATAAAAAAAGTGTGATAAAGTGTGTTGCAAAACTAGTCAATAGTGGTAGTTGCCCGAGGGTTATAAATGTGACTGTAACTTTGGAATAAAAACCAAGAGTAAAGCTTGTGGACATTATTACACAAGCAAGGATACTTATATAAGCTAAATGACAATAATAATTATTATTCATTTACCACCATTGCTGAATGACATGCCATATTTATACCCACGTGTGAGGCAGTGTGCATTTGTCTATGTTTATATTACCCAAATGCCAACGTAAGGTGCATTTTCAAAATAATTCTGTTGTGGAAAAGCACATCCTAGCAACATAAGTTTGGTTCGTGGTGACGTTCACGTTTCTGTATGAAAAATTCACAAATAAGAGCAGTTTTCGTGCCATTTTGTGCACACACAAAATACAAATGTCACGGTAAATATGTGACAGGAAAAAGAATATAAAAAAAAAAATAAGATCATAACCCTGGAATATGGCAATCAATCAAATTAAAATTACCAGGGGAAAAACGTCACAAAAGTTCAATGTGAGCACGTCAGAATCAGAATATGTATTTGTACTGCAGGAGGAATCCGATGAGCTATAAAGCTTTTTTTCACAGATGTCCAGTAGGTTTCACAAATGTTGGCATGTGGGTGATATTACGATTACACGTATGTACAACAGTAATAACATAGTCCTGAACGCCTGTTTCAGCATTCAACAAACTCAGAAGGAAGAGACAAACACTAAAGTAGACAATGGTTAAAGATGAGAAAAACAAAAGCAATAATGGTTTTCTGCCATCGTACTCACTTGCGAGTCAATGAAAACCACATCTTGTGGCTGTGTGAAGACAAATTCATAGAGTCTGTAGTGCTGGAAAAGACTTGTCACACAGTAGCACACAATGAATGTTTGTATTTGCAAGTGGGCAGCAAATGCTATAAACAGAAAAAAAATCATTATTCACTCCACAGTATTCTGTAACAAATCACCACGAATAGGGAATATTGGCCAAAAGTGTTTAATGTATGTTTTTGCGTATGTGTAATTATATAAATGAAGGTAACAATCAATATTATATGTAATTACATAAACAATGTTGGATTGATAATTGTTTTTTTACCCTTCTATCTGGCAACAAAACTGACACCTTTTTTTAAAAAAAGGTGTCCGTTTTGTTGGTGGCAGTTTTGTTGCCAGATAGAAGGGTAAAAAAACAATTATCATATTTTTTACTGTCAAATGAGGTTCCAATGGTGTAAATGTTGGATTGTTCATGCAAGGAAACAACGCACCTGGTGGTTAGGTAACCGAGAACGAGCTTTCCTTGCTCCAGGCTGAGACACGCCAAGTCATCACAGCCAACTCCCACCAGCTGCAGTGAACAAGCCTTCAAATTTTCCACGAGCTTCATTCGCCTCTCTGCAATGAGACATCCTTTCCTGTTTAAAAATGTTTAAAACTTCCAAAGTAAATAACATACACACTGCACGCAATGTACATATTGGGTGTGGTGCGTTGGGTGTTCCGACTGCTCACATCACATTATTTTCGCTACAATTAGCTTGTGGCTTATGACATCAATCTTTTGTTTGAACTGCACAAACAAAGCCACAGTGTGTTTTAATGTCAGATGATCGGATGATCATTATGATGAACATCATTAGTTGGAAATTACACTTGTGAGCATCAAATTACCATAGCGACTACAACCAGTCATGCTGCATTGACATTGCAGCGACGCTACACACTTCTGTGACCATATACAGGACAACAATTGTGGCCAAATATGAGGTGCCACCACAGGTATTCTCAATCAAATCTTGACCCTACAACATCACACACAAAATAAAAATGTGTCTGTTAAAATTTGAAATGTTTTTCTTTTCTTATTTTGTTCTTGTTATTTTTGTTGTGAAGGCAAACAAATACAACAGCAAACAAGGGAGTACATTGTGTACAGCCACGTCACTCTGTCCAGATTCTTCTGAACTCGACAACGCAGGTTATTTTCGGAATGTAGAATGCATAATAGTTTTAGTGAAAAAATGCATATACTGAATGCTTAACGTGTTTTGAGTGGAAATAACAGGCTGTTAAACACATCCCACTAAATGGCAGCATCATATGATGTTTGGACATTTGGAATTAATTAATATATGACACATGTATGCAATTACCTTAAAGAACCCAACATTTTTTTGATCATGTTGTATGCGATGGGATCACGTACACAGTCCCCGGGTTATGGAAGGGTTAGCTTCCCGAGAACAATCCGTAACCCGAATTTTCCATATGTCGAAAACTGAACAATTTTCCCCCAAAACCAAGATTAATTCCCACTTATTACAGTGAATTTGGCTGTAACGGTTCCACCTGAAGACGGAAGCTTGTGTTGCCTCCGAAACGTCGTGATTTTATTTAGTTGTTTTTTCATTTATTTATTTTTAACTACGTGACTTTACCGAAAAAACCAGAGTATGAATCCTTGTAGTCACGAAAACTTCAAATCTAGAATCAAGATAAATTCCATTTACCTTAATCCTAGTCAAGCTCGAGTGAGGTGTACGGCTGCTGGCCTTACGCCTCGCTCCACAGTATTCATCTGCCACCTCACAGTGCTGCACTACTTGGGCTAATGTAACTAACGCAAACATTTCCGCGTAATGCATTTTTTTGACATGATTTATGGGAGCATTTCCATAAGGTCGGATTTTTGTAAGTCGGGTCTTCCGCAACCCGGGGACTGTCCGTATATTGTCTCTTGAACTGAATCACGACCCTGAATCGTGACAATTCATAACATCGTTGGGTGAATTGTTATATCCCTAGCATCTGCTAGAGAAGACAGTGACTAACTCAATGAGCCACGTCTATTCTAATGAGTCTGAAAGGCAAAAAATCTGAAAGTTGGTGCGATTGCAATCCGCCAAAGCTTATGACGAGAGATTCAGCATATAGTAATCATTCTACTACACTGTTGTGTGAAACCAAATACTTCCATCTGCAGCCACGATAATTTACATTTGAATTGTGATGTGAATGTATTTATTTTGGCTCCCCTACAAAACACTTCAAGATCTTATGAAAATCTACAGTGCTGAAAGCAATGGCATGTGGGCATTTGAAGGAGTCAAGGTGTTAATGCAATAATTATGAAAGCCTGTGACCAAGCCAAGACCATCAACACTCACTCCACCTGAGAAGCTGGTTCATATTAAGGCAAGTAATACAAGTTCACCGAGGGAAGCTCTGCAGTGTTGCCAGATACCCGAGTTATTTGGTCAAGGTATGCTGCATAAATACAGCTCATGTCCAGGTAATTATATCGTAGGGCCATGAAATGTATGGCAGCTTGGGGAGGCCTTCATGCAACAGTGGATAAAACATAGCTGCTGCTGCTGATGAGATCAACGAGTGGACATAGTTCTACCATACCCCTCTTCACCTTCTATGTTCTGCAGCAGAGTGTGCAAGAGGGTGACAACGTAGAGGATCTGCTGCGATGAGAATCCGTGTTCACGAGCCCAGCGATAGGCCGACACGTACACATCCAGCAATGCCGCCTCGCGCAGGGACGTCTTGTGCACACGCAGGTGCAGCATTTCCACCAGATGCCTGCAGAGTTTCTCAGTTCAATAAATGTAAAATCACAATAACTTCTTTGTGACACAGATTTTATTAGTTTTACTTTTAGCTAATCTCGGGACTGTTTTTCAGGAGAGTCCTGCTTTTAAAGTATCTTTGACTGTGTAGAACCCTCTGCTGCGTTTTCCGGTTGTACCGGGTGTTGTTTGGCATGTTGTACGATGTTTTGCTCCAGTGCTGGGAGCTTCTTCAGGAACTGGATTTGAATTCAACCGGAAAACACATCAGAGCTATGCAGCACAATTGCAAGAAACCTACGCAGTAGCAAAACTGGAACGCATCGGGGAGAACTAACACATCGAGGAGGAAACGATGCTCATCATCTGCATGAATAGGTCGGCAAATAAGTGGCTTTGTCTTTTACAGGTCATCTCATTGCCCTGCCATTGGAAATATCATGAGCTTTAAAGTGCTATAGTTATTAACATGTCACGACACATGGGGGGGAAATGCATTTCAAGCCAATACAAAACATCGACCCGGCCATGCAGTGGCATTCATATAAAATTTTTACAATTACAACTTGAGATCTGGTGGTGGCATTGGTGGATCACACTGATATGGACACATGGGTTCTCTGTTGAATCACAAATGTTATCATACCTTCCTAAGGGTTACTCAATATATTTAGGGGATTTTTCCAAACATTCTCGTTTCCTTTAAATCTGGCCAAACATGTCAAAGCAGAACCCTCTCTTACAAATACATCATAAAGTACCGTATGTACACGCATTGTATTCTTCCAATGGTAAAGGGAGCAATGAATGTAGTGAAAAGGCATATTTTCATTAACACATGGCATAAAAGCAAACTGATGCAAGTCTCTATTATTTAAAACAAAAAGTGGAAGAATTTGCCCATGCACCAATGTATGAAGTGGCCTCACATAGTTGCAAACAAAATCATGCTCTGAAAATATATGCATTGTTTTTTAAACTGATTGGTCCACACCAGATACAGCTTTAATTAGAGCCGAGTCTCAAACGGTGTTAGACCAGAGGACTCCTAAAGGTGAACAGCAAAAGGTTTCTGATTGGTGTTTTAACATCTTAACACCTGTTTTATTGCCAGAAAGGGTAAAACTTATTCTTATATTTTGACATACTGGCAAGGGAGATCGCATGATGTAGCTGCTTACCCCGAGCTCTCAATGTCCTCATAGTGGCATTGTCTTTGTGCTTTTCGACTTTTGGCATCCTCTGGTCAAACACTGTTTGAGACGAGGCTCGAAATAAAGCTGTCTCTGGTGTGAACCAATCAGTTTCAAATACAATAGATATATTACCATAGTATGTTTTTATTTTGGTTAATGCAGACATGATTCCTTGCAAAGGTTTCTGTTTGATGTTTTAACATCTTAACACCTATACTCTTTGGTTTTTTCGGTAAAGTCACGTAGGTAAAAAAAATTAAATCACGTTTCGGAGGCAACACAAGCTTCTGTCTTCAGCAAAATTTTTGCTGTGACGTCGTGATTTAATTTAATTTATTTTCTTTTTTTACCTACGTGACTTTACCGAAAAAAACAGAGTATGGACCCTTGCAGTCACGAAAACTTCAAATCTAGATCTTAACACCTGTTTTATTGCCAGAAAGGGTAAAAATATTCTTATATTATACTCAAATAGTTGACAAAAGCGTGGCTGCTTACGTCTGCACCTCCTCCAGAGTGAGTGTGGCAAGGGACTCCACTTGGGAAACTGAGAGGACAATCTCTGCCTTGGATAAGTCCTTTGTCTCGGTCACAACTGCGTCGTCGTTCTGCACTCACAACGAAGCCAGATATATTCCATTCAAAAACACGTGAGATTGTGTAAACTTCGTTTATTTGCAGTTAAGATAGCCTCGTGGTCAGTGTGCTAACCAATGAGCTACTGCTCCCAGGGTTCATTCCAACTCAATAAAGGGGAATTAACAAGGTTATTCAACTGCTACAAATTGCAGAATAAAGACCCTGTGAATTGATAATTATTATAAGAGAATACCATTGTGTGTTGCTTTGGTATGCGAAAATTTGTTTCGTGTGAAAAATAATCGCAACAAAGCTTAAGTATAAAATGACAATATTTTTTTATCAGTTATAAAGAGAACAATCGATTCTATTCAAAATGTATTAGATGTTAAAATACAAATTTTGCTGTTTTTTCAACTTTTGTTGCAAAACCAGCAAAAAAACCGAGTCATTCTATATTGCAAGGTTAATGAAAACTGATATATCCACAGGAAAAATGTATCAAATATATTTAAACCGCTGTAAACGGATGATATAAGTGCAAATAAACTTTTATATTTTTAAAGAGAATGCGATAAGGCTGGTACACCGCTGAAACAAAGTAAAACATAATGAGACGTTAAAATATCGCTTAGTAGACTCATGGTACAGCCCTCATTCATCCACTGCTGGGCTGGTTGACAACCCACAGCCGTGCGGGTCTTGGGGCTTACTTGACCATACTTCACCACTCTGGTCAGTGAATGTTGAAGGCGCGGGAGCATAGAAGTACAGCCAGGCAATGGATGTCTGCACTGTCCTCTGGTGGTCCAGTACTCTTATTACACTATCCATGCCATCGTGCACCACACTACATTCATGTTTATACAACACACGTAATACGATACGACTTATAAAATGCAGTGACCGTAATACAGATAAAATATACAGGACAGTAATCTCAATACCACACGACACGATAACGTATTGACGCCGGGTGCAATTCACAACAGGCACACACACGATACGTATTTTAATCCGACTAAATGTTGGTTTAAAACGTCTTAACGGTAGCGATTACCATCGTCGCAAACTGTTAAAAGGTTGTATTTGTTTAAAAACAAAAATAACAATTTATTTAGCTTCAATGTAACGCGGTCATTTAAATGTCCACTCGGCGATCGCCGCGTCGTTCTGTCGGCGGTTGCGCGGGGTCCGCTACGGCGCTGGTGATTGGCTGGCGGGAGCCACGCCCCACATGAAACGCCGTCTCCTATTGGCTAGACGGCGGGGATTTCTCAACGCCCAATCACAGCGCCGCGTGGCTAGAGGAGGCGGTTGCCGTCTCTACCACGCAACAGTCGCCTAGCAACTCACGCGACGGTCGCCCAGCAACCTCACGCGACGGTCGCCTAGCAACTCACGCGACGGTCGCCTAGCAACTCACGCGACGGTCGTCTAGCAACTCACGAGACGGTCGCCTAGCAACTCACGCGACGGTCGCCACGGCAACGGCGGGTCACGTGCCCAGAACACGTGGAACGAAATTGAAGCAATTCCTGCTTATTGTTGAAACAACCCAAAAAACACTTCAATAATTATATTCTTGGTTCTTTCGGTAAAGTCACGTAGAAGGGAAATAATAAAATAATAAAACATTAAAAATATTCTCACGACGTTTCGACTGTAACGAACCAAGAATGTGAATCCCTGCAGTCACGAAAGCTTTAAATCAAAACTTCAATAATTATTTAAGTGTTTTTTCTCTCACTTTCACATCGATATAATACGGCAGCATCTGGTTTTAAGCAAGAAACAATCTGGACTGGTGTTTGACCTTCTGGGTCTCATCAGCAGTGTCAGACTGGTAATCCGGCAGCATTTGTTTAATAACTCTCCTTCTGATGACCTAGACATCTGTGAAAAAGAGCTTTATGGCTCATCGGATTCCTCCAGTATAAATACATATTCTGATTCTGATGATGAGACGCCTCCAAAAAGCCAAACACCAGTCCAGAGTTTGTTTGCTTGCTGAGTTACCACCAAAAAACATTCTTGGCAGTATTCCATTGAAAATATGGCTGATGGACTAAAGCACGTTTTATTTGTGTGGAGAAATGATTTATATTCTCCTACCCCCCATGTAATGCTCCGCGTGGTTTTAGTCACACTGCTCCACACCAAACGCGTAATGAGTTTGTGTGTGGTTACTCACACCAACTCGATTGGCAATCAAGTTGAAAGAAAGAAATCCGTTTTTAGTTTAGCACCAGTACAGGAATTTAATCATGAAAGCTGAACACGCGATGGACTCCGGCTGTGGAAGAAAACGCAACGTTCAAATAGCCCTTTGGGGCCGTCCATAAATGACGTCACGCGATTTTTGACGATTTTTGACCCCCCCCCCCCCCCCCAGTCACACGGCGTCACAAAAAGTCAGACCCCTCTCAAATATGACGTCACAAGGCTCTGCCCCCCCCCCCTAGGTGCGTGACGTCATTTATGGACGGCCCCTTTGCCACGCATTCTAGGGCCTCCACATTGGAAGGACTACTCGGCACAGGATAATGGGATGCAAAACAAACATCACCAATTTAAACTACAATAACTTTTGCTGCAACCATGGAGAGCAGTGGCCACACGAAGCCACTAATAGGTGTATGTGTACAAAGTACTGCATATCAGCCTGCTATGCTCATGCACGCCAGCAGAGGGCACACGAGGTCTTTCAGTTTCCTTCAGTTCTTTAAAGTGAGAGAAATATTTTTCGATTTAAAGCTTTCGTGACTGCAGGGATTCAACTTCTTGGTTCTTTCGGTAAAGTCACGTAGAATGGAAATAATAAAACAATAAAAACAAAACATAATACAATAATTCTCACGACCTTTCGGCCACAACGCAAGCAGCCGTCCTCAGGTGTAGAACAGGTTTGTCGAGAAGACAGAGTTTGAATGAGCATTCATGAAGAGTCTAAATGAGCATTCATGAATGAGCATTCAGACTCTGTCTTCTCGACAGACCTGTTATACACATGAGGACGGCTGCTTGCGTTGTGGCCGAAACGTCGTGAGAATTATTTTATTATGTTTTGTTTTTATTGTTTTATTATTTCCATTCTACGTGACTTTACCGAAAGAACCAAGAAGATATGAGAGAAATACCTGATCTTATTTGAATCGAAATTGCCCAATTTTAATTCACTTTACTTGAGTAGCTAAGTGTTTTGCAAAGCGGAAATGTTGATCTTTAACAGCCTCTGTTGGAGTGGTTTACTGTGATTTGTATATTCTGATTTTTTTTTCAGTAGTGGCATAACTAATTGGATGGGATCTGTCACGAGTCGTTTATATTGACTTAAACTGTATTCGCTACATCCTAAACGAATTTATAGGGGAAAATGTGAAAAGTATGAAATTTTATCCTCAATATAAAAAGAAAAATATATATTTTTTAAAGTGTATAGATTTTTACATGGCTTAAGGAGGTCTTGATGCAGAAATGGAGTGGGAAATTGCTGTAAAAGATTTTTTATTTTACCAGGTAAAACCCATTGAGCTATATAGTTATATGATAATTGGTTTTTTACTCTTTTATCTGGCAACAAAACTGACACTTTTTTTTACAGGGAGTCATGTTTGCATAGACCACAATACCTGCAGTCATAATGCAAACAAAAAAACACAACTCTGATAATGTATGCACTGTCCTTGAAGTTGATTGGTCCACACCCGAGACAGCTTTCCTTAGAGCCTAGTCTCACATGGTGTTGGACCAGATGACGCCAAAAGGCGCACGTTTTTTGTTTGCATTATGACTGCAGGTATTGTGGTCTATGCAAACATGACTCCTTGTAAAAAAGTGTCAGTTTTGTTGCCAGATAAAAGGGTAAAAAAACAATTATCATATTTTTTACTGGCAAATGAGGTTCCAATGGCTATATAGTTCTACAAATGATAGCTCAATTAAGGGGCGTATCATGTGTAAATGTATAGCAACCAAATACTCGAAACGCATTATTCTAAATGTGGAGGGAAAACTGGAAGACCCGGAGGAAAATCCACGCGACCACGGGGAGAACACGCAAACTCCAAATATACAGCAGGCGTCAGGGTCAGGATTGAACCCACGACCTCCTGTATACCAGGCGAGGTAGTTAACATCTCGCCACCAGTTGCCCCCAAAGCATTTTATTCTATCAGTTTTCCAAATAATTTTTATATGAATCTGTGTTGTTTAAGTTTCACGAGGGAGACAATTCACTATTTACTTAATTTATGGTGAAGTACATGGTGATAAGTGACTAATAGAGTATAGAGAAATTTATTTTTGCCGCCTCCTATTCTGACAAACATCTTAGAATGCAAGATGTTAATAAACACCACAGAATAACCGAAATTCCTTAACTTATTTTCCATCTACAATGCGTACAGTATGCTGCATATACATTTATCATGACTCAAAGCTTTCGTGACTACCGGAATTCATACTTTTTGGGTCTTTAAAAAAAATATTTTTCTACCTACGTGACTTTACCAAAAGACCCAAGAAATATACATTTATCATTTTAATGTTAACCTAAGTGGTAGTGACATGCAGTTTCTAGGATATTTTTTTATTGTAAAGATAGCATTTACAAAAAAGGTTTAGCATGGTCAAATTCCCTTTAAGAACATCAGGAAATGGAACAGCTTCTGATTTTTTTTCTTTGACCCAAACTCTGTAGGCACCCGGTGATTGTGTGGCTATGCTGCACATCCGACATCCGTTGGTCATGCACCCCTTCCCCTGAGGCTTTATTGTACACACATATCTCAATGTCTTCACATCTGTGTTTACTCCAGCCCTGTAGCAGTATGTTCCGTGGGAAATATTTTCTTAAGATGGAAATATGTGACTGTCAGATTCACGACGCTAAAAAAACCCACATGCATGCCCATACATATGCACCATTTGGATGATTTTATTTGCAGTATATAAAATTAATATTAAGTTAAAGTTAATGCATGGCATTAATTGTTAATGAGTTGAATAAAAACACTGGCACGTACACGAGAAACGTCTCATATGACTATTTGATTGCATAAAATACAACATATGCTTTATTTTTTTACATTGAAATTAGTGTCCATATTTTTTAGTAAAAATGTATTTTACTCAACAGAATGGTGATGGGACATTCAGGCGACTGAGTTGAAGAAACCACTCAAATTATGCGTGTAGAATTGAGAAATTTGCATACAAGAAAAGTATATGCATCTGTAGTCAGCAGATACATTTATTGCATTTCTGTCTTTATCTCTGAAAATATTTACTGCAGATTTAGTTTTTTTAAATTGGTAAATATCAGCCTTCCACACAATGGTCATGTCCAATTCACGTAGAGGGCCTACATCTCAAAAGGAGCAAATTTTCTCCGCTTGCTGAAAAGGTTGGAAGATAAAGGGGAATCTTTATCCAAGCACAAGCAATTCACCAAATTACATTTGCAGTGCACCCCCTCTGGCAGTATATATACACTAAGTACTGAATTGTAATGTCATTTGATGAAACTTGTCTAAGATTACAACCACTTACCGTACCGGGTGATTCATGCATAATATGGAGATATGATACAATTATATACTGTAATCGAGGGCTGTTAAGCATTGCAACCTGTACGTGGGACACATTCTCCTCAGCTCTTACAAATTTTTAGTCCGTTTTCTTTACGTTTTAAATCGAAGCTGCCGTCACAGAATTTGCAATGCATTGCCAATAGTTTCCCAATGCGGGTCACGTATGTCCTAAATTTCTCCTGGATTAGACGGCGTGTGTGACACAGATTGTGAATCTCTATCGTGCTACCTTTAACAGCCTCTGCTGCAGTGGTTTACTATGGTTTGTATATTCTGATATAGGTTTTTTCAGTAGTGGCATAACTAATTGGATGGAATATGTCACGAATAAATTTTGATTTAAAGCTTTCGTGACTGCAGGGATTCATCTTCTTGGTTCTTTCCGTAAAGTCACGTAGAAGGGAAATAATAAAATAATAAAAATAAAACATAATAAAATAATACAGACGCTGTCTTTCCGACAGACCTGTTCTTCACCTGAGGACGGCTGCTTGCGTTGTGGCCGAAACGTCGTGAGAATTGTATTTTATTATGTTTTATTTTTTATTTCCCTTCTACGTGACTTTACTGAAAGAACCAAGAAGATGTCACGAATAGTT